CGAACCATGGGAAACCCGTATCATTCGAGAACGAAGAATTCTTCGTTTTCTTTCGACTCATTCTGGGGAAAAATGGAATGTTCGTTTGCGTTTTGAAGAAAATAAATAAAATTCTCAGCGAGACTGTGAACGGTAAATAAAGAAAATATCTGAAGTTCGAAGCGGTAATGTGACAAAGCAAACTTACTACAAAACTGAACTTGGGGCAGATTAAAACTAGTTGAAAACCGTGGCCTAACTCCGTCCGTGCGGTCTCATCCCGCTCGATCCGCGGTCCGTTTCACCATTTTGCGGCCAACTTTTGACCCATATTTCCTCGTACGAAAATTAATACTCGTTAACGACAAAGTAGCAGCACAAAGCCCACTTTGATATTTTACGCGTGCTCGAACGGTCCACTTGTTTAACTCGTCTAATCTTGTTCGTTATTCCCAAGAATATTCAAACCAAAAATTATCCCCCTACCTTTTCTTTATTTTTTCTCAATCTCCAAAATTGATTCTTCCTTCTCGACATCTCTATATCCTTTATATATATTCTACTTACTACAATTAGATTGACTACAAATTGCCAAATGTTAAAAAATTCTTCGAACGGAGAAATGTGTGCAAATTACGGAGAAGACAATTCGTTAAGACCAAGCGCGTAAAAATAACTTTGACTCGATCAAGCATTGCTCGGAGTATACTCAGCCGCGATCCCGATGGGTGTTTTCTGAGAACACACCGAGTCGCGAGTCACGGAGTGCTCTTTTACCGAGCGGAAAGACCGCCTTTTTTTTCTCCTTTTTTTTCTCTTTTTTTTTTCTTCTTAAAAAGAACGAGATTCCCAGGAAAACGCGAAAGCATTTGGGATCCGTGGCAACGAGGTATCGGTGGAGGACCGCGAACAAAATGTTTGTCGAGTCAACGGAACGTGTTTTCGCGCCGCGACAACTCGCTCTCCCTCTCTCTCTCTCTCTCTCTCTCCCTCTCGCTCTGTCTATTTCTCCATCTCTTTTTTTTTCTTTTTTTGTTCCTTCCCCGAGAAGAGACATTAAAGCACGCTCCAAACTGGTTAATGTTTAAACGAGCCCCGAGCCTTTTCGTGGCAACAACACCTACAACTGTCTATCGTTTTCCAATCTCCTCTGGTGCTGGGAGGATTTCGGTCGATCCACTTGGAAAAATCAAGCGCGGGAAATTAGTGGGAAAAGTTGGCGCGAACGAAATTCTTTAATTATATACAGAGAGAGAGAGGGAGAAGAGGGAGAAAAATATCGAGGAACATGCACGCACGGGGGAAAAACACAGAAGATGGGAAAATGGATGGGTGAAATAAAAAAGTTTATCGATGGAAAAATGTGAATTGGCGCGATTTAATTTGCATCTGGGTACTGTCCGCGAAAATTGCAAATGCTCACTGATTAGAGTCAAGTTTCCTTCTGCACCTCGAGGATAAGGGGGAACAAACGAAACGAGGAGAACGAAAGGGAGGAAGGGAGGAACAAGTTGGGGAAAAAAGACGGGAGCAAGTTGAAAAGGAAACGAAGGAAAAAGATTTGCCTCGGCTAATTGCATGAGATATGCGATTGTTTCATGCATATTCAACGAGTCCTCGAGGTGGAAATAGCTGATCGCTATTCCTTCCTTCATCCTGCGTCTTCTTTCTTTCCCTCCTCCAAGGTCTCTTTTTCCGCCTCGCTTTTCCTCCTTCCTCTCGGAGGAAAAGTTGGCGCCCTCCCCATCTCCCCGTCTCTCCTCGAAAGATTTCCTCGAACGAGTAATCCGATCCTAAGCCGCGAAGTATCTCCTCGATATTAATTAAGTCTCCTCGATCTTGTGTTAAGTCTTCTTGATTGTACGCACCTGAAACTAGTTTTCTTCTTCCCTTCCCTTCCCTTCCGTCCAATATACATCGTACATCGCGATAAACGATATCTAGATGAAAAGATGAAATCGAATCTTGAGAAACTCGAAGTGATTCCCATTTTCGAAAGTTTCTCCCCGCTGACGCGCGGAGAGATAGGATGTTGCGATTGGAGAATCGATTCGTCGACCAATTAGTCGATAAAAATCGAAAAGCGCGCCCATGCCTCGCGATAGAGAAATATCACGATGGGATGGGATGGGATGGGATGGGATGGGATCCACGAAACCGCGATTCGAATAAATTCATCACCTTTCCATTCGGGCCACGATATTTCGTTCGATGTGTTCCGTTCAACGTTCTCGGTGAAACAGAATTTTGCGAGGCATGGCCGAGTCGGTTAACCTTCCCTTCCTCTCCTGTACTCCGGACGATTATCGAATTACCGGAAACGTTTCCCCATCGGTACCGTTCATCCCGCGGATTTTCCATCGGCCACGCTCGTACTTTCGAAATATCGGCCGAATGATTGATAACGAGAAAACTGGGTTGCGGATTTATTTTTTTCTCTCTCTCTCTCTCTTTCCCTCTCTCTCTTTGTTTCGCTTGATCCCTTTGTTCGTGCTTTCACAGGCCGATTGCCCGTTCGCTTTGCCCCCCTTCCTCTCTCCCCCATCTCTATGTATATGTATTTATACTCGCGGCTATGGCGTTTCCTGCGAATTTTCGTTCGCTTTTTATCGCGTATTTCCCATCGGTATTCCCACCGAATTTTATATCACGCCTTACAAAATCAAACTTAATTCTTTCGTTCGCTTTTGTACGTTCGTAGTACGTCTGTTGCTGTCCCTTTTTCTTTTTTCTTATTTTCATTCTAAATCGTAAGAAAATGGTGAGAGATTGCGAAAGAAAGTCGAAGAAGGAAAAGAGCGATGGAGGATAGATAGATCTTTGGAAAAAGCGTTGCAAATCGAAAGCAAGGATCTCGAAAATATCCGATATCGAAGGTAACGGTTTCTTCGGGAGCAAAAGACCTCGATGCTCGAAGAATTTAGAAAATGCAAGAATACGTCTTCCCGTCGTTTCTTCGTCGTTCAATGCTTTCCTCCGACAATAGTATTGTACTTGTTAAAAGCACGTGTAAACTTGGCAAAACGATGCGCAGTTTCTTGCATTTGAGAAACCACTTAGTCTGATTGAGAGACCGACGACTGGCGACTTGGTGCATGATCGAGTCTAATCGATTCGATTAGAGACGAGCTTCGAATAGATCTTGTCAAATGGGCTAAGCTTTTTCGCGAGCAAATTCACGGGGAAAGATTCAAGGAATTGGTTTTACAAAAGATCAACTTGCGTTGCGCTTTAACCGAAATAAAGAGAAATTTTCGTATTACACTTGCAATTTGAATATTTTTACATCGAGGCAATAGCAATAAATATTTTAATTAAATAAATACAATAAATATAAAGGCGCAAATTTTCGATACGTGTAATAATGTAAAAAAAATCTAAAACAATCGTTGGGTTACAAAAGTTACTTCGTAATGTTCGAAACAAAAAAAGAAAATAAAATGGAAAATAAAAGAAAATAGAAAGGAAAGAAAGAAACATTTCAGTCGGAGCGATGGGACGATGAGAAAGGAATGTTTTCAAACTTACCGCCAAGAAGGATATGCACGAGAAGCGGAAGAAATCTGTATTGGCGCACTTTCGTCATGATTCTTGATTTTTCTACATGAACTGCTCTTCTTATCGCAGAACTCTCGGTTTCAAACTGATGCAATTTGTTCGTTCCTTCGAACGTGATTCAAATGTAAACACAAACCCGCGAATTTCAAAAGTTCCTTCGATTACGAACAAACATGTTATAAATAATCGTATGAAATATTTTTCTTTTTGACTTTTTAAAAGAAAAAAAAAAATGACGAGGAAGTTTGAATGAAAGGGAACACGAATGGTGAACCGTCGAGTCGAAAGAGTTCGAACGGAAAAGACCGTTCGACAGACAAAGTCCACGAGAAGTTGCGCGGACGAAGTCTCGGCTTCGACTGGCGCGCACCAACGTATCTGACCCCTCTGATAACCGGCCAGCCCCCTCTGGTTCAAATTCATCCCCTTCCCTCTTCACCCTGTCTGACTCCATCTCTCGTCGACTGTCTACGAGACATATCGTGGATCAAAAGGGACCAACTTAGACAAGGTACCTCTTTTTAATTTACGATTTAGCATGAATCGTATCGCATTCTATCTTAAAAAAAAATGAATTGATGACATCGAATAATTCGAAGCATGCATCGAAATCGTCGTATTGAATGAATTTGAAACACTGTAGTAAAACGTATGAGAAAAATCATTACACGTTGTATAATAGAGTTGTATAATTACACGTTGTATAATTATTCCATTTTCTTCCAATAATATTTCCATTCCCTTCAAATCAAATATTCCTCATGTAATTAAATTAACACGTTTTTTTATTTCATTCGTCACTTTTATTTTTCTCTTTTTTTACGTTTCATATTATCAACGAAATTTTGTTTAAAAATATTTGATGCATATTGCCAAATCCGCAAACATTTCTGAAAAGAATAAGACAAGAAGTATAATACAATAATTAGATAAAATTATGATAAGCAATTTGACGTAACGGAAATTTATAATTAGACTTTTATAATGAATTACTGATCTATAAAGAAAATAAATTTTTACTTTTTTTATTTATTTTACATATTTTATATATTTTAATATTTACAAATTACATCTTAGATGATTCGATAATAAAAAATTATTATATAATTTTTAATAAATATAATTTTTTAAATATAATATATCATCACTGGAAATATGTATAGTAATAAATAAAAAGTAAAATACTTATTTATGATAATTATAAATATACATATATGTATATGTAAATATTATTAAATACATTATGACTGGCTTAAAGTAATCTGTTCTTTTTATTGACAATTAAATGCTTGTCGCAATTTACACAATCCCAAATAAACCGGATCAAAATGTGTACATACGTATTAAATAGTCAAAAAGGAAGGGATAAAATTTCCGTTAGAAGAATTATGTTTTGTATATCGGAAGTGAAGTCTATAGTTGAAAATCAGCCGACGATAATAACGTGACGCGTTTTCTGTGTAAGCCAGACGTTAGCGCCTCTCGTGAGTTGCGCAACAGTCGCGAGGTCAGCATCATTGTAACTTTTGGCGCCAATTGACTACAAGGCGCTATATATTCCATTTACAAAACAATTATATTAAAAAAGTAGTACGTATATAAGTGGCGATATTAAAATCGCTTATTTATCCATATGTGACAGTCATAAAAAGAGTTTTATACACATATTTGTAAACATAACCTTGGTATACTTTTAGTGCCGCCAAGGAAAGCAACAAAACGGCCAGCTCACAATTCTGCAAAAGGCCCACGAGAGCCAAAACAGATAAGGAAAAAACAAGGTAAATTATTATTTCGTCAGTATTAAGTTATTTTTTACAATTTATTTTTAGCGTCGAAAAATATATTAGCCCAGAAAAATTTGATCGAAATATATAACCGCGAAGCACATGGATATGTTTAGACAATGTGTTTCACGATCGATAATTATTGCTTTCTTTTAATTGGTAGTTAGAAATAAATTAGTATTTTTAGATAAAAAATTTCGTGAAACCGTCGTAATAATTTTTCTGTTATAGTGCCGCGAATATTACGTGTCCTGCGGCAAATGTGGATCGGCACAAACATAATTGTACCTCTCTAAACCAAATACCATAAAATAGTACTAGACATTTGCATGCATTTCACAGAATTAGTTGTGAAACCTGATTTACGACAATCTGCGACTGGCGGCGTATTATTAGTATTTGGACAAGGCGATGTTGGACAACTAGGTTTAGGAGAAGAAGTTGTTGAAAAAACACGACCAGCAGTTGTACCTGGATATCAAGATATAATATCTGTAGCAGCTGGTGGTATGCACAATGTGTGCCTAAGACAAACCGGAGAAGTATTAACATTTGGATGCAATGACGAAGGAGCATTGGGACGAGATACATCTAAGGATGGTTCTGAGACTGAACCTGGTTCCGTTGAATTACCAAGTAAAGCTATTCAAGTGACAGCTGGAGATTCTCATAGTGCTGCTTTATTAGAAGATGGACGAGTTTTTGCATGGGGCTCTTTTAGGGTATAATTTTTTTTTACATTTCAAATATAAATTTTCTTATCTTATTAATTGCATTGATGTTAACAAAATTATATTTATTATTTAAGGATTCTCATGGTACTATGGGTCTAACATTAAAAGGAAATGAACGGTTTCCAATAGAAATACTGCCTAATGTAAACGTAGTTAAAATAGCATCTGGTGCTGATCATTTAGTGTTACTTGATAAAAATGGACATGTATATACATGCGGTTGTGGAGAACAAGGTCAATTGGGACGAGTAGCTGCCAGAACAGCTAGTAGAAATACCCGTCATGGTATGGGTCCTTTATTAACTCCTGCTTTAGTTGAATTTAAAGTTACTAAGAAATTAGAATTTGATGACATTTGGGCTGGAACATATTGTACATTTGCTAAAGAATATCAAAAGGGAGATATATATGTATTTGGATTAAATAATTATTATCAAATTGGTAAGTTAAAATAAAATATTAATAAATAAAAGTGCATAAAAATTCTTTTAAAAAATTATAAAAATAATTGCAAATAATAATTAAATTTTAGGTTTAAAAGATCCTGTAACTCATTTTCATCCGCAAGTTTCAAAAACATTTAGTGGAAAAGTTTGGAGGCATATTAGCAGTGGGCAACATCATACTATTGCCTTAGATGATTCTGGTCAAGTATTTGTTATGGGCCGTAAAGAATATGGACGTCTTGGACTTGGTTCTAATTGTTTGGATGCAAAAGAATTAACACTAGTTCCTAATTTAAGTTCCTTTAAATGTATTGATGTTGCAGCAGGTAGTGCCCAATCTTTTGCTGTCACTGAATTAGGTAGCATTCTTTGCTAACATCATTATTTATCGTTATTTTTATATTATTATATTGTTAAATATTTAGTATTTTTATCTTCGTATGTATAGGAGATTTATATTCATGGGGTATGGGTTCAAGTGGCCAGCTAGGTACAGGAGAAGAAGAGGATGTTGAAGAACCTACACTAGTCAAAGGAAAACAATTGGAAGGAAAAACAGTAGTACGAGTCGCGGGTGGAGGTCAACATACATTAACATTAGCAACAATCCATCCAATGAAAGAAAAAACAGCTGGTTAATATTAAATGACTTGTTAGATTTAAATTTAAAGTGTTTCATATATGTGATAATAATTTGGACAACGAAGGGAAAAAGGAATTAATGATTTTTATTCTCCTTGAACAAAAATTATATTGAAGGAGAAACTAACAAATAAAACTAATTCTGAAGATGTATCGTAATTTCGATAGTAAGACGATACTTATATTTGTACATAATTTTTTTGTGCTAAAAAAAATTGCATCATTGTGTTTATATAATTAATATATCGACTGATTTTTTGATTGCATTGTTATTTTTTCTACTTGATTGTATTATGATGAAATAAAACACTTTTCTACTTGTGAATTATATATTATTAAAAAATGTATCTTTGTTATATAGACCTGAATTAAGTTTTATTACTTATATTAATGTTTCAAAAATATTAAGTATTTAATTAATTCTGAATCATATTTAAATTTTATTCACATTGTATAATTAAATACAGAATAAAGATGTTATTATAATTTATTCTATGTTTTTAAAAATTGTTTAATCTTATAATAAATATAATTGATGTAATTATTAATTATCCTTTAGAAAGATTGAAATCTTAAAAAAATGATTAGATAGAATGAATAAAAATAAAATTACCATTGATATTTCTCTTAATAAACTATTTTATTTTGTTTAACTTAATTTTGGTTGTTCTACAATTTTGCCTTCTTGCAAAGAAATTTGTTGTAATTTTTTCCCAATACGTTCTTGTACATCTAAGTATTTAGCAATACAACGATCAAGACATACAGATTCACCTTTACTTAATTCTGAACTAGTATATTTTGGTGGAATACATTTTCTGTGACATGCTGCTGTCATACGATGAAACATATCAGTCATCATTTCTATTTCTATATCTCGTACTAACTTCAATTGTTCTTCACTAAACTGAGGTAATGCAGCCATTTTTTAAATAATTATCAATTATTATTTTACAATTATTTAAATGCACAAATAAGTCTAATTATTAGAAATCTGGAACTGTCTCGTTTTCATATTTTTATATCTTTTTGCATTTATATTTTTTCTTGCTTTTGAAAAAGCATATACTCCTATTCCAGCAGATATAAACCTGTAAAAAAAGATTATCTACTTACTAAGTTCAAAATCAAATTAAATATATAATATTAATGATAACAATTATATATTATTAAATACAAAGAAACATAAATGTTACTAAATTTTAAATAAAAATACAAATACAAGATTCTTATGTAAAAAGTTAACCACAAAAAAACGGCTATTACGACAGAACAGCGATTGAAATATCTTACATTTACATACCTACCATCCAATCGCTATCTTCGTACAATTTTGTAAAGCCATTCTTTTTTAAATGTCATAAAATATTTCTATAATAAAAATTAATTGTTTATATACCTGTACATTCATTCATATAACTTTGTGACCACGCTATTATGCGATCATGTGACTAAGTAAAATACGATCATGTAATTTTTACCATAGATGATGTACAACATAGATCTAACATTACATATTATGAAACATATTATGAAACATATTATGAAACACTAAATTAAAAAAATTTAATAAAATGTATGTCACCCTACTTTTTAATTTACTTTCCATGTAAAAATAAAAAAAGAATAAATATATATATGATATAAAAAATAAAAATATAAAAATAAAAGTTACATATTAATTAATTAAAATTAAAATTTAATCATTAAAAATTATTTGAAATAATAATTTATCAAATATTAATTATTTTCAATAATAATAGTGAATAAAACAATTTCAACTCTTGATAAGAAGATTTATTTAATGTAACAAGTTGCACATAAAATTAATATAATTGATTAAATATTATTATTATTACTTGTTTAATAAAATTATTTAAGTTTTTAATCAATAAATTCAATAAAAAAAAATTATTAAAATTAATCAAATATAGTATAGGAGTAAATTTTATTGAACAAATATAGATAAGCAGAACAAATAACGGAAGTTAGAAATAGAAAGAAAATTGTGAAATCGCCATCTTTAAAATGCCGCAAATGAAACTAAAAAAAGCAAATAGTAGAAGAGCAAATAGATAGAATAAAAATTAATCATCAACAGCATTTCTTGAATGTCAAAAATATTTTTCCAAAAATATTGGAAACATGGCATTAATTCTTAATTTTTATTGTATTTTACTGTGTTTAAATGTTTTTAATATTTAAGAGATAGCATTGATAGTTAATTCTTTTTTATTTTTATTATTTGTTTTTACTATTCATTTTTTTTTTTTTATTTATATTTTATTTACGATACTCTAAAAATGTCATTGATTTCATAATTTTTAATCTTTCTTTTTTTTTACTTATTTATTTTTCTTATATTATATTTGTGTTATAAAATTTATGTCTTCAAAACATGATTTCTATATTTGATTAATTTTATTGTTTTCTTTTCATCAAATTTTCAATTTTTTACTTTCTACTTTTAATTATATATAACTAATATTTATAATTGTAAAAGCAAGTATAATATAAATAAATTTAATATTATAGCATCATATTTAAATCTATTTTTATGAAAAAATTTTACAAATTGATATTATTTTCATTATGTTGTAATTAAAAATACAAAGATACTGTTATTTATACATGAGTATGACTCATTATGTACAATTCATATAATCAAAAAATCTATGAATATAATTCGATATATATAATATGTACAGAATATATATATACAATGCATAGAGATATTTATCAAAAGATGTATTAAAGAAATTATATTTAAAATCTATTTATATATATTATATAATATTAATTTTTGTAATTAAATTAAATATAATTTTTATATTTAAAGAAGGCGTACCAAACATTCTCTTTTTTTTACGTAATTGATATTTTGAAATATGAAAAATAAAATTCTATTAAATATTTATCTTATATTCATTAAATAATTTATTTTATTCCTCGTTCATGATATTAATATTATTAATTCTAACAACAAGAAAATTAAATAGAAATGTTCTATGAAAATTTTACAAAGACTTTTCGTTTCTGTATACTTCGATATATATGGAAAAAGATTGAACATCGAAGCATTCTATTGGTTATTTCTCATAGTAGTGCTATATTAAATCAATAAAGTTAGAAACAATATTGAAAAGGTTAAAAAACTTTAAAACGTTAAAAAATCTAAACCTAAAACGTGGAAGAAGAAATGTATTAAATGATAAATTTATTTTGTGTCTCATTTATGATTTTAATTTAATGAAACAGATTAATTGATAATAAAAATACTATTGATTTACTTATTTGCTTACAGTGATTATGAAGGTAATTGCTGTTTAATTAAAAAAATTAATTTATTTTATAATATCTTTATAAATACTGCCATATATTAATTTTAATATATAAAAATTAAAGTTAAACATTAATGTGAAATGTTAAAACAAAATAATTTTTTTACTCATAATATCGATATTACATGGAAAACGTTCGTTCGAGAAACTTGCGATACTATTCCAACAATATTTAATGAAAAGAAAGATGATTGCTTATATTTCAAAGGAGATGAAGCAAAGAAGGCATACGAAGAAATTATATCCGAACAAAGTGATATGATTTTACAATCTGCACATAAACATAAATTAAAAACATTTAATAATTGCAATTCAATACCAAAACCGTTTTCGTCGAATGAAAAAAAGAAGAATCAGTTTACTCAGGAAAAAGTGACAATTAATACAATATTAAAAGCAGTAGAACAAAAAGACTTAAAATTTTTATCAAAATATGTAACATGGGAAAATGTTAATTTGACTGATGATTTTGGTTGGACTCCTCTCATGTCAGCTGCATATTGTGGTCATTTGGATATTATAGAATTTTTATTAAACCTTGGTGCCAATAAAAAAGCTAAAGAAAAATCTGGTCTTACTGCAGCACAATTGGCATTAAAAAAAAATTATTTGAATATAGTTGCCTTACTTAAGAAAAAATCAGAATCTGTATGTAACAAAACATTACAAGAAAAAAATACAAATGATTCAGAAAAAAATGCAGATACTTTATTACAGATAAAATCAGAATCTGTAGGACTTTTGAAAAATTATAAAGACAATATACATAGAGATAATGATAATATAGAGGAGGCATTCAATGAGGGATTTTATTGTAAAATTTGCAAGACTAATTTTTACCAAACAACTTGGAAAAAACATGAAACATCTACACTTCATATTTTCAATAGTAAACCAAAATTAAAAAATACAATGTATGGGATATCAAAACAAAATAAAGGTTATAAAATATTATTAAATTGTGGATGGGATGAACAAGGTGGTCTTGGTCCTACAGGAAAAGGAATAAAATATCCTATTAAAACCTGTTTAAAATCTGATAGAAAAGGACTAGGACAATGTAATGAAAAAGAATATAGAGTGACTCATTTTAAACCTAAAGATCCTGCAGCAGTTAGTGATTTTAGAACATTTAAACAAAAATGTTTGAAGAAGAAAGATAGAGAAAAGTTACTTGATAGGGAAGTTAGAAGAGAGAAAGCATTACGTATTGCTTTGTCTTAAAATAATACATAAATGATTAATATTTGATAATATTTCTAAGACTGAATAGAATGTAATTTTGATTTTTTATATTTTTTAAATGTTTTTCTTTTATTACCATTCAATTTAAGAATTATAATATTATTTATTACATTTACAGAAATATTTTATCATATGATACAATAATATTCATAATATATAAATAATTAATCATAATTTTTGTTGTAGATGAAATTTGATCAGCAGAAGGCTTTAAAACATATACAACAAGTGGAAGAAAAAGCAGGTGAGATTCTTACTGATCGACAAGAAATAATTGCTTTGGATAAAAGAAGAAATAATGATAGAGTTGGAATGAGGGCATTGCAGAAAGAGAATTGTGAGAAAATTTGGATAACTATTGGACCATTATTACTTAAAATGCCATCCAAAATTGCAGAAGAATTACTTATTAAAGGTATTTTCATTTATTATTATTTTTTTTTTTTTATAATTTTAGAATATGAATAAAAATTAATTACATTTTTTTTTCATATTACAGATCAAAAAGAATGTGACATAGAAATTAATAAGCTAAGAAGTAATTTAAAAGTTAAAGTGAATGAATTAAGAGATTTAGAACTTAATCCATCTGTTCCAGGTTTAATGTTGCAACCTATGTCTTATAAAGAAATGTCAGCAATAAAACAAAATTTAGGTCAAAATTCTTAAATATATCTAAAATTTAGAATAAGAAATTATTAGGAATAATACTATATATTACCTATTATATATTATATAATATAATATTATAAAAATATATATTATAAAATTAAAACTAATAATTATATATTATTATTATTTACTAAGTAATTTTGATAATTTATCTAAATTATTTTTTTCCATGTATTTTAACATTATAATATTTATGTATATATCAATATTGATTCATTAGT